TGAGAGACAAAGAGAGGATGGAAACCTACGAAAAATGACCTTTCAGGGGAAGAAGTGCCCTTTCTCTGAGATTATTTGGTGGTAAATATTCTTTTTTTAAAAAAAAAAAGTTTATTTATTTTTGAGAAAGAGATTGAGAGAGCACACGTGGGGGAGAGGCAGAGAGAGACGGAGAGAGAGAATCCCAAGCAGGCTCTGCGCTGTCAGCGCAAAGCCCAGTGCAGGGCTCGATCGCACAAACCGTGAGGTCGTGACCTGAGCGGAAACCAAGAGTCGGCCACTTAACTGACCGAGCCGCCCAGGGGCCCCTCTTAAATATCCTTGTTTTTGCATGAAGTGCTATATTTTCATCCTACGTGGTATGCTTTTGAAAAAGACTTCTCAGCTGGCAAAATACAAAGCTGGGAGGCATCATGGTCTGTGCTCAAAATCGAAAATTCCAGCTCTCCATGGCCTGTCGTCCCGATTCTGAGAACCAGAATGACTCTTTGCCACAGAAGTAATTCTAAACTCAAACCAAAGCAATAGCCCTGAACTTGAGGAAAATGCCACGAACTTACTTGTTTAGCAAAAAACTGAAGGTGATGGGAAAGATGACTTTTCAGAGGAAACGAGCTGCAGAAACCCAAAACTACCACAGACACCGTCACTGCTTTGTGGGTCCTTAACAGGTGTCAGGGTTTTGGGTAAGCAGTGTGAAGGCACCATCTCGTGATATCTTGGGAAATAGGAATTGGTTTTTTTTTAATTTTTTAATGTTTATTTATTTTTGATAGAGAGAGAGAGAGAGAGAGAGAGAGAGAGAGAGGCAGCATGAAGGGGGAGGAACAGAGAGGGAGACCCAGAATCCAAAGCAGGCTCCAGGCTCTGAGCTGTCAGCACAGAGCCCGTCTCGGGGCTCGAACTCACGGACCGCGAGATCCTGACCTGAGCCGAAGTCAGACCCTTAACCAACTGAGTCACCCAGGCGCCCCTTGGAAAATAGGAATCCTTATCACAATTTCCCTGACGAGGAAAATGGAGCTCCCAGGGGTCAACTAACTTCTCCCGGGGACTACTGTTAATAGGAGGCCAAGTCCGCATTCAGACGGGCCTGCCTGCCCTGGTTCTCTTCCGTTAGCTGCTGGGTTAAATCTCGGCTCCTAACACGGCCCCTGTGGGCTCCCCTCTGTCACTCCTTGCAGCCATCTGGTCACCCTGTGGCTTGGCCTCAGGGGCTTGCAATCAGGGTCACTTCAGCCTGAAACCCTTGGTTCCAGGTAGTTCTGTCCTTTGCGAGCGCTCGGTGCAAATGTCTCCTCGGAGAGGCCTTTCCTGAAGGCCCCGCCGAAAGCCATTCCCCACTCTACCTGCTGACCTCAACCCCCTCCGCCCTCTTTGTCTCCCGGCTGTCACTCCACTGTCCATTCACAGTGGCTTCGTCCCTCAGTACAACGCAAGCCCCCCGGAAAGGCCCAACCTCCACGGCCAAGTACGGGGCTGGCCTGAGGTAGGTTCTCCACGAACACCAAGCGAGGGGAGAATGCACGAAAGGCTGCCAGTGCACGAGCGAGGTCCGCGCAGACTGGACTCCGTCTTGCTCCAGGGGTCACTGACCTTCACCCCCGTGAAGCGGGGTGGCCGCAGGCTCAGATCCGCTCAGGGTGTGCGTCTCATCCCACTGCCCCTTCTCCTGCACGCAGCCACTTTCACGGACCTCCGACACCTTCCAAATAGAGTGCAAAGCACGCGGTACTTGGCAGAACGTCTGGCTTGGGTCCGTGGCCCGGGCTGCTCCCCAGGGTGGTCGCTGGGCGGTGGCTTTCAGCAAGACTGCTTGATGCCTTGATACGAAAGGCATCATCCTTTGGGGCCACCTCAGAGGCGTGTTGTGAAACCTTTATAGGAGACGGCAGACATGAAGTCTCACGTGTGCCCGATGACGGGGACAAAACAGGTTTCGATGTTGACTGAAAGGCAGTTGGCTTTTGTACGGAAGCTCCCCCCTTTTGGTTTGACCATAGCCCCCAAGCTGCTGACCCGAAACTCGGGACTCGATCCCGGGCCGTCGCACAAAAGGTTTCCGTATGGGGGAACCATATGGAAATGCAGACGGTCTGAGGCACGTGTTCTGGACGTGGGGTACCTAAAAAAGGCTGGAGAGCAGGGGAGTTCCTGGGGAGGAGAAGGGGGCAGGGACGCCATTGCCTCGGACGCTGTCTGGATGTGAACAGGACGAGGTACAGACCCGAAGAGCACCCACCCACACACCCCTCTCAGCCTTAGCCTTGTTTCTTCAGAGTGTCGTTTCTTCAAGTCAGGCAAAACGAAGTTTTTGTTAGTTCTCTAAGACCAGAGAATCCATCTGAGGACAGGCCTGTATTGAAGATTCTTGTCTTGGCTCCTGAGAGCCTCACCGGCCCAGGAGGTAACACGTAATGCGCTCACACTGTATATGGATGGGGTCATGTTTCTGTCGTGCTATCAATGTGCTTCGATGGCGTCAATATCATTGCCAACGAGGGACAGACTGGACGCTTCCTACCTTGAGTAAAATGTTCAGAGATCAGGAGAGCTGTTTATACGGGGAAGAGGCAAAGGACCGATTCAATGAAGTCAGAGCCCCCCCCCCCCCCCCCCCCCCACCGTTCCCGGTTTATAGTAGGTGCTCATTAAATGTCAGCTGGCTGGGTGGACTGACGGTCGTGCAGATTGGCTCATACTGACGTTTTTGTGCAAAGATTGGTTTCATCCCCTGAAGAAAGGCCTCTTCCAGCTCTTCCCTCCTTCAGTTGCTTCATACCAAACGCAGGCAGTTATTCGGTTGATAGTGTTTGTAAGAGAGCTGTGGCTGATTTTGCAAGCCGTCAGCCTTTCAGTTATTGGTCAAGCTTCAAGTAGGTGTGGTCATACACAGACACACAGATGAACACACGCGCCCACACCCACACCTACTCACGCCCGCCCACACGGCCGCATTGCACCGTCCAGAGAATTCCCCAATGTGGCCGTGAGATTGCAGGAC